GCAGACTGCTTGAGCTCCCTCAGGAGTTCGAGCCCAGCCTGGGAAACACGGTGAAACCTGTCTCTTCAAAAAATACAAAAATTAGCTGGTCGTGGTGGTACACACCTGTAGTCCACACTACTCAGGAGGCTGGGATGGGAGGATCACTTAAGCCCAGAAGGTCAAGGCTGCAGTGAGCTGAGATCACGCCACTGCACTGAGCCTGGGTGACAGAACTAGACCCTGTCTCAAAAAAATAAATAAATAAATAAACATACTTTTAAAAAATATAAAAATATTTAAAAATTTTTTTAAAAAATGAAATGCGAGGCTGAAAAGCACACATGGGCCCATCATAAGGGGTTGGGTTCCCCCACCTTATCAAATTGCCCAGCAGCTGCCCAAGAAAAAAAGAATTGTTAATGACAAAATGAAAAGTAATAATTGCAGCCAATCTGAATAAGCCAAATAGAAAAACCCACGAAGATGTAAGAATAAGCGAGAAATCAACCAGAGGCTTGTGAGCATAAGGACATAAAAGGTAGTTAACAACAAACAATATTGATTAAAAGAGTCAGGGAAAGACAAATGAAGAACAAACCAAGTTATAGAAGGTCTAGGTTACATTTTTGGCCAATAACCAAGTTATTAGTACAAATTGCTACCGTCCCATAGGGTGCAGAAGTGTCCAAAACCCTTGGCTCGTGGCTGAGAATCTGGACAGAATGTCTCCCTTACGAAGAATTTGGCTGTGCAAATGTTTTAATCCTGCCTTAAGGGAGGGGTAGAGTATAGTGTATAAAAATCCCATTTCAGGCCGGGCACGGTGCCTCACACCTGTAATGCCAGCACTTTAGGAGGCCAAGGAAGGTAGATAACTTCAGATTAGGAGTTTGAGATCAGCCTGGCCACCATGGTGAAACCCCATCTTTACTAAAAATACAAAAAATTAGCTGGGCATGGTGTCAGGTGCCTGTAATCCCAGCTACTCAGGAAGCTGAAGCAGAAGAATTGCTTAAACCCATGAGGGGGAGGTTGCAGTGAACCAAGGTCATCACACCACTGCACTCCAGAGCCTGGGTGACAGAGCAACCCTTCATCTCAAAAAAAGAAAGAAAAAGCCCATTTCAGGCCTACATTCGTACACACACACATATATACGCACACACACACTTTCATGACTCCAGATCTTTGCTGACGCCAATTGTTTATTCTTCCTGGAAACCTCATCTCTTCTTCCTCTGCCATTTAAGTTCAGATTTATATTGATGACCCCCAAGAATCACTCTTCCTTCTATATTCTGTTGCCTCCTTCTACCTGGGGGTGGGGAAACAGGAGGAGATGAATAATCTCTGCTAGCCTCATTCTACAGAGGATGAGGGCTCCCTCAGCCTCTTCCTCCTCAGCTTCTCTCTAGGGGGTCCCGATGACTGAGGGACCTCTGACACTTGGTGCCTCCAGGGGAAGAAAGTTCCCTTCAGAGGAGCAGCTGGCACTGCCAATTTTGGGTCTGTCTCTGCCTCTACTACCTCACGTCCCTTCACACAGTCTCCTGGGATGAGCTCACAAACCCAGCAAGGCCGTGAGCTCATCTTGAGATCAAGATATTAATAGAAGTCTCCACTCATGGAAGGGCTTTCACAGCTGCTACTCAGCATGGTCAGCCAAGAGAAGACATGGAGTCTTACTGAGTGTCTATTATGGACAGCATGCTTCACAGATAATGTCTTCTTAAAGCCTATCAGCTTAAGCCTGCTAGCAATACACACACAGCCAAGGTTAAGGTTATTGGCTTGTTGGAGCAAGAGAGCACGTATGCGAGACGAATCATGGAACACGAAAAAGTAAAAGTTAGGAAAGCATATTTACTAAGACTGGGGAGCTGGAGTTAAATGTTCCTTGCAGGGATTGGTCAGACTCTGGAAACTAGGGAGTTGCTGAAACGGTCAGTGATTTTATCTACAGAATGCAAAAGTCACGAGACATACACCTGTGTTCACAGCTGCATTATTCTTAATAGCCAAAAGGTAGACCCAATCCAAGTGTCCATTGACAAATGGATAAATGTGATGTATACATACTATGGAATGTTATTCAGCCTTAAGAAGGAAATTCTCACACATGCTACACATGGATGAACCTTGAAGACATTATACTAAGTGAAATAAACCGGACACAAGAAGACAAACTTTGTATGATTCCACTTACGTGAGGTACCTAGAGTAGTCAAACTCAGAAAGTAGAATGGTGGTTGCTGGGGACTTGGAGGAGGGGAGAATGGGCAGTTATTTTTAACGGGTACAGTTTCATTTTTGCAAGATGAAAAGAGTTCTGTGGATGGATGATGATGGCAGTTGCATAACGATGTGAATGGATCAGTGCCACCAAACCGTATACTTAAAAATGGTTAAAATGGTAAATTTTATGTTATGTATATTTTACTACATTTTTTTTAAAGTCATGTGGAATGGCTGTAAGATCAGTTTGTCTGATGTCCTGTCTTAAAAACACGGGTCTGCATGTGCTGGTGAGAAGAGTTTGAGTTTAGTCACTTTCTCCTGCATGCTGTGGCTTGGCTCGGTTTCACTGTTCTGCCAAGTTACAGAGCCGATTTGCAAGATGCGATTTCTGTTTTAATTTTCAGTTCCCCCATCTCAGACTAGCTGTCAGCAGAGCCGTTTTTTACTTTCTCAATCTCATTTTTTCGCTTGTTTGTTTATTCCTCTTAACAACTGAAGGTAGTACTAGATTCGAGATTCCAACCCAAAGCTGCCAGAATTCTCGGCATGGACTTCTCTATCATAGGGGTCCCCAAAAGGTTAAAGCAGGTCCTTAAAATATGCACAATCCGTCTGTTCCTAATACATCACAGATGTAATTTCGTATTGACTATTCCAGGAACCCTAAAATACTCAAGATAAATACGCACTGCCTGTTCCAGGACCTCACAGACTGATGGGCAAAACACATAAATACACAGCTATGTGTAGAAAATTTAATAAATCTAGAAGGTAAATGATCATATATCCACGTTAAATATCTATGTAATTGTGATACTACTCACTTACATCTGGTTAGAAGCCTTTCACAAGGAAGAGATCTTTTTCTAGAGATGAGATTCAAAATTAAAATGGAACACTACTAGAAAACTTAATACATTCAGTTAGATTTCTCTGAAGTATAAACGATAGTGCTAAAAGAGTAGATTTAGATAAAGCAGAGAAAGCAAGCAAACTAATTTCTAACAGATGTAACAAAATTGAAAGCAGGAATCGGCAAACTTTTTCTGTAAAGGCCCAGAGAGTAAATATTTAAGGCCTTACAGGCCATATGCAGCCAAAGACAATATGTAAACAAATGAGTATGGCTGAATTCCAATACAACTTTATTTAGGAAGCTGAAATTTGAATTTAATGTAATTTTCACAGGTCATAAAATATTATTCTTTTTAAATTTTTTCCAACCATTTAAAATTGTCAAAAACCATTTTTATCTCTCAGGCTGTAGAAACACGAGCAGCAGGCCAAATTTGGCCTGCGGCTATAATTTGCCAAGCCCTGTTTTCAAGGCTGGCTTCTCCAAGTGTAACCCATAGTCTGGCAGCATCGGCAACACCCAGGAGCTTGTCGGAAATACAGAACCTCACGCCCAACACCAGATCTGCAGAAGAACTACTTACATTTTTAACAACCATCATGTGTTTGTTTATGCAGTTTAAGGTCTACTCAGACTCTGATACGAGACTGTGGTCAACCCCTGTGCTTCCCAAGGAAATGACCTTGGGAACATTCTGAACCTCTGTGCCTCAGTTTCCCCATGTACAAGATAAAGATGATAGCAGTCTCCCTTAAGCATGGCTGTGAGAGTTCTCACACACACGCGCGCATACACACGCATACACACGCATACACACACACGTGCGCATGCACGGCTTAAAACAGTATTTGTCATTACTATTACAAAATCTTATTTTCACAGCCATTCTCTGAAATAGGCAATGTTTACCTAATTTGACAGAAGAAACTGCCATCTAGGATTGCAATTTAGTCCTGAGAATAATGACCAAAGGGACAAAAGGCGGACAAACACCCCAGGACCCCAGATCTTTGAGCCCATGTTCCCCTCCTAGGGGAACACTCTCCATAACCTCTCAGCTCACACCCCTTGATGGTCCCTAAAATCGAAATGACTTCTGCCACACAAAGATCTCCCCAGATCTGTACCCCAAATTACTCTTTCATTCCTTGAAATTTATTTTCCATTAAGTTGCATAGTGTTTTTTTTTTTTTTTTTTTTTTTTTTTACAACTTCTCTTTCTAGTTATAGATTGTAAACTTTTCCTTTGCTGAGTCTTGGAGCTGACCAACTGTTTTTTATTGTATTTGTAGGGCTCAGGGAAAAAAAAAGAAAAGGCAATTCCTTTATTTGAGAATCCTGACATTTATTAGCATAATAAAACTCTCAAGATGAAACTGCAGTTTTCCAGACAGTAATTTCATTTGCAAGACACCTTACAAGGGATTTATTTTAAAGCCAGGTAAAAAGGTAAAACCTAAAATATATGAGACATGCAGAAAGTGCAGGCCCCAAATAAAACGAAATAAATGTGTTAGGGATGGAAAACTCAGCTGTTGTCTCCCACATATGAATTAGGGGTGACAAGAACAACAGCCCAGGGATTCAGGGTCTTAACCCATCTTGGTCTGCTTTCAAAGCTGCTGGTGGTTCTTGGAACAGAAGTTTCTTCCAACACCTTGAAAATCATCACATCCTATCCCTTGACACATCACGGCGAAGTACTAAGTTGTTGTTTTTATTGTGGTTGTTGTTAGAAATACCTTTTTCATTTGGACAGAGCTTTCAAGTTTATTATTTAACTGACCGGAAAAAAAAAAAAAAAAAAAAAAAAAAAAAAAAAAAAAAAAAAAACCTAGTGACGGCCATACAGAAAATTCCCTTTTCAGTCATACTGAGGTTTATTGGAGTTAAATGACTCAAACAAAGTCACATAGTTGGTAAATCAGAGAGCCACAACTAAAACATGGTTCCTCTAAGTCCATAAAATAAGGCAATTTTCATGATAATCAGTTATGGTTTTAAGGCACGTTAGGGTTCAAAAAGCAAGTTCCTTCCGTCATTTCACTTTACACATTTAGTGAGACAGGCAGACTGGAGGAAGCCATGGAGCTGAGTTGCAAAATGGCTATTATTGAACACTTCTGTGTGACAGGTTCTTATCCTGGATTCCCCAAATGGCAGAGCCTGTGGCGAAAGCTTATAAGCTGCTACTTCATTCAGAAGTGCAATCCCAAAGCAGCAGGAGAGGCACAGCAGAGAAGGAGGAACAAACAGGGGCAGGGGGTGTCATACAATCCGGCCACCACTTGGTTTCATCATGACTGGTTGCTCCATTTTGCAGGACTGTCTTCTAAAAAGAACATACAAATAGATGTATAGCTCCTCCAGGAAGAAGGGAGAAGCAGAGATCTATCAGCCTGTGATTCCCATTCATCCAAGATTCATCACATGAGGCATTCATTTCCCATCCCTTCTGTTTTATTCCTCTGCAGCAATGGGAGATGAAACACGTAGTAAGGTACCACTGGCTTATGCTCATGTGATGCTGACCAACATAGGGAGGAAGAGCAGAGCTCATGTACAACTGGTTACAGTGATGGTGGCTGGTGGGAGACAAGTGACCAAGGATCTAAGGAACAAGTGAGGCAAGAGAGGAAGTGGGGTGCAGGAGATGTTTGATACAGCCACCAAGTAAAGTAAATTGTTCCCTAACATCCTTCGAGTCCATTCATCCTTTTCCTCTCACAAAACACAATGCTGCATTATAATGCTCATAAGTTCCAGGATGAGGATCTGAACCCAAGTCATATACTGCCTCTGAGTATATAGCCATAAAAGTATGCACCAACAGACACCATCACCCATTGAGGAGTTATTGGGTGAGTCTTCTTGTTAATGTAAGAAACATACTGAGACTAAGTTGACAAGAGAATTAAAAGGACAATGAGGACAGAGCTAATAATTGGAGTAACCTGCATAGATAGGGCCGCATTCCAGAGAGCAAAGTCCTTATCAGATGTCTAAAAATCATTCTTGCATTTGTAACTCACCCCAGGTCTTGATGATGTCTGCAGTATTACATAAAACCACTGCAAAACCAGAAACAAGATGATTCAAAGATACAGGAGAGCAGCAAAAGAAGAGGTTAAATAAGGAAGGAAGAACAATGTCAACCAGCTGCCCTGCAAACTGGGGCCCATCTTAGATAATAATTCCAATGATAACATCAATGAGAGTAATAATGGTGATTATGAACGATGCAGCATTTATGTCCTCCATAGAAATCCTTTACAATCTTCTATTATCACCATGATTTTATAGAGTGACAAGTAGGAAATAATTTACAATAAACCACTGCTTATTTGTTGGAAAACTTTTAGAAGTGCATTCATTCAACAAACATTTACTGAATGCCTACCATATGTTAAATTCAGGGTTCGGCACTGGAATTATTTTGGATTATTAAAACATGGTCCACGCACTCTAAGAGCTCAGTTTACAGAAGTCATGACAAACAGGCTTTTGTTTCTTGCTAAGCTCTTCATGAAAGAGTTGCATGAGCTATTAGCAATTTCTGTCCCGATCACTGGGAATAAGACCAGCAGCCCTATGCCACAAATGTCATACCCCTTGAGACATATTAATCTACTTTTTCCTCTGGATAGTTGTGGATCTTCCAGAGGCCACAGGATTTGAGTTGAGAAGTTCTTAAGCTGAGTTCAAAAACAGGATGCCCAAAGAATCCAACTGATAAGGAAAAAAAATTATTCAAACAACAGATGGTAGTCTGGTGGGCTGTCCCTCTGTCCACAGGGTTCTTGAAGCAACTCTCCTCCTGAAACAGTGATAATTTCCTCCTAAAAGAGAAAAAAAGGAAAGTCCATTTTTAATCAAGATAGGGAAATAAACACCTATGAGAGAGAGACTTGTTCAAGACAGAGAAACTAAGAATATGCCTCTGTCTCCCCTCATTCGGATTTCTAGAAATGACAGAAAAAATCTGCCTTTAAAAAGAAATAAATTCATAAAAAGTACTGGAAAACAAAAAGGAATGCTATCAACAAAGTGAAACATATTGAAGAATCCTTGAAAAACAAAAGACATGCAGGAGGGGCTTGTCAGAGGGGTCACTGTGGGACACCAGTTACAGCAAGCTGAGGAAGGGTTGAGGAGTTCCAGTAGGTGTTTGCCTCCAGCAGGTTAGGAATGAAGAGACGCACACAGTTCCTTGAAGTTCCTCGGAAGCCCCAAGAGACCCAGAAAGTTCAGACAGTCCCTATGCCCAAAAGATGAGCCACTCAGAGTCAACTCCAACCCCTACAGCATGGATGTGGGAAACAAAACCGTATCCACTCATGATAGACAGAAAATTTAAAGTTGGAAGACCACTTCATAGCCTAAAATTTATAGGCATTTAAGGAAAAATATAACCATAAAAGAAAGATGCCAAACTCAACAACAGAAATGATTTCCAGGAAAATATCAAGTCTATAAAGCAAACAGAAGAGGCTTTAAGAGATGTGCATTAATCTCTACTCAGCGGAGTAAGAAATAAGTCATCTATGAAACGAGAATGGGCATTATTAAAAAAAAAAAAACAATTAAAGAACCTGGAAACCAAAAGCATGACAATTTAAATTAAAAGGAAAAAATTTAAGTAGAAGAACTGAAGAACAGAATGCTCATAACTAAAGAGCAATTCAGCAGCTGAAAGAAACGTCACATCAGTAAGAAAGAGACCGCCTAATAGAAAAATGGACAAAGGATATAAAAGGACGACTCACAGAAGAAATCCAAGTGGCCATGAAATGTGTGAAAAGATCCTCAGCATCAGTGGTAATCAGACAAATGCAAACTAAACCACAGTAGATTCAATGTCTGCCCATCTGATGAAGAAAAATGAAATGATTGATAGTCCCCAGTGTTGGCAGCAGTGTGGGGAAACAGCCTCATATAGTTTTGGCAGGAGACTGAACTGGCGCCACATTTTTGGAGGGCAATCTGGCAGATCTTTTCTAATTAAAATGTGCATACTCTTCTCTCCAGCGATTCCAGTCCCAACACCATCCTACTGCACATGTATCCATAGTGACACACACAGGGAAGTCTCTGCCGCACTGTTCAACATCATGAAAAATCGGAAGCCAGACAAGTGGCCATCAAAAGGAGAATGGGTAATTATACTGTAATATGCATCCATACCATAGAATACCACATGACATTTACAAGGTTTGTTATACAAAGTGACATAGGAAGAGCTCATAGCTACATTTTAATGACAGCCAGCATGTCCTGAAATTAGAAGTATCAGGTATATTGTTTCAACACTTTGCACAGTAATGTTTCATTAAAACCTTACAGTGACCCGAAGAGTTGAGTGCCACTATTAAATATTAAACCCACTTTACTAAGGCGGAAACTAAGGCACAAAAGTTGAGCAATCGTCTAAAGTCAAACACAGTAAGTTGTGGTTTAACACTCAGCAGCCTCATTCTAGGGACCATGCTTTTTAAAACTGCATTCAATGATTTAGTGAACATGTTAAAAAATCAAGTCACTAATTTATACATAAAGAACTATGCAACTTGGGCTGGGTGTGGTGGCGCATGCCTGTGGCCCCAGCTACTATGGAAGCTGAGGTGGGAGGATCACTTGAGCCCAGGATCTTGAGGTTACGGTGAGCTATGATGGCACCACTACACTCCAGCCTAGGCAACAGAGTAAGCCCTTGTCTCAACAAAAACTATGCAACTAATATGAAAAACAACAAAACCATATATTTCCTTACGTACATAAGTTTTTATATTACTAATCAGGAGATACTTAGGTAGATACACGACAAATTGATAAAGTGGAGGATGGAAATGGAGATTTGAAATGAAACGGAGATTTGAAACAACAAAATTATATATTTCCTTACGTACATAAGCTTTTATATTACTAATCAGGAGATACTTAGGTAGATACATGACAAATTGATAATCAAAGTGGAGTATGGAAATGGAGATTTGAAAAAATCAAACTGTATTTGATTTTTTTAGAATGTAATCATGAATTGTATAATTAATTTTTTAATTTATAGAAGTTGGCCACCAGATCTCCACATGGACATAAACGATCTCGCTCTTTAGTGTTAGAAACGAAATTGTCTCAAATGTTTCAATTTGGAAGAGAACAAAGACCGTCAGAGATCTCTGGTCTAGCCTTTCTCCGGAGCCTGCCCTGAGGGACGGGCATTTATCCTTTGCCTGAAACACTTTCAGGGACAAGGAGCTCATCACTGCTAAAACAGCTGCTACTACAGAGGAAAAGCAAACAATGTGGCTTAGTGGGAAAAGTACATTTTTTAGAGGCAAACAGCCTGAGGCTTAACTCCTGGTCCTAACTAGAAAACTTAGCCCTGGTTTCTAATCAGTGGAATGGGGCTAAGATGCCTCCTTCACAGATCTACTGGGAAGAGTAAATAAGAGCATGGATGTAGAACAGCAGTTTCAGTGCCTGACAGAGAACATGCCAATATCCTCACATTCTCTCCCTTTCTCTTTCCTCTGTTAGAAGGCTCTTCCCAACCCGTGGCAATTGACCTTCATCCTGGTTAGTCCAGTTTCCAGGCAGTGTACTCCACACTCAGTGCCAGGGTATCTGTGAATGGGTGATTCTCCATGTATATTACTCATAAGCTCAAAGGCTGTCCTTGAAGTTCTAGGGACCTTCACGAAGAGACAGAGAGAAAGCAATACAAACCTACGAGTCCCTGTTATAGCAAAAGCCCAGTGAGACCGTCGGGTCATTCTGTGAAACCATCTACACATGCAAAGCTTTTGGTTAGCTGCTGGACGCCTGAGCTGCTTCTCGGAATCCTTTGTCCTGCCCTTTCGGGTCACTGAGTTCTACCTTTGGCTTTCTCCCAGTTCCTACTGATGCCAATTGCCATACGAACATAAACGTTGCTTCTTACTATATACACTATTTGGAAGACAACATCTTTCCCAATATAGGGTCCCTGGTAGGAGGACAAATAACAAAAAGAATGCTGAGAAACAAGATCCTCCATAAGCACTTCACAGCCACAGAGCACTGCTGTGTACCGACTTCATTTAATGTTCACAGGGTCCGAGGTAAGTATTTACCTCCATCTGCCTGGCTTGGATGCTGATGCTTGGTGAGACTAAGGTGCTGGCTCAAGGTTACACACATACCAAGTGGTAAAGCTGGAGTTCAAGTAAGAGACATGGTAACTCCACCACTAGAAAAGCTTCTCTAATCACAGGGTTGCCTGCTGCACTTCCCCTACCTCTCAGAAGCTGCCAGGGGCCTCAGAGGTCCTCATGAAAGACGTTCTTGGGAATGAGCTGGAGATGAGACCCAGGCTTGGAGAAAGGGATGATCATCCAGTTCTGTGTTAACAGGAGGGAGCACTCAGGTACCCAAAAGTGAGAAGAGCCTTGAGGACCAGGGTGAGAGGTAACCACGTGCCCCAGATAGTGAAGCAGAGAACAGAACAGTGGGCCCCAGGGCCCGGTGTGGACAATCTCTGGTCTCTTCTGCCCTGATGCTCCACATCTCTGAGACCCTCCAGCCGCACTGCCCAGAGCCAGCAGATTGCTTCCCTTGCTCTAGCTCTCTCTTCAAGTTTCCACCAGTTTTACCCCGCGATTAGAATCCTATGAGGGATACCTTATGGAAATCAATGAGATCCGTGAGCGTTGCATGGCGATTGGGGTCCACTCCCAGGAAGCTGTAAAAATCCCCAGAGGCATCCACAAGAAAGTGCTTGAACCCTTTCTGCAGGCGGTAGGAGAGGGTGTAACCCCAGATTTTCTCACTGACCCGGACCAGGAATGCTCCCTCAGTCATGTTCTCCAGGAGATCTTCCGCATCTTCTCGGCTAATGATTCCTGATTTTTAAAATTAAAAAAAAAAAAAAAAGCAGGTTCTGCAACAGCCTCCACACAATCCTCCACTCCTCCTTGCCCCTTACCCTGTGGCTCAGTGTACATGCCATCCACATAGTCCAGGATGCCAGGAAGGAAAGAGCCCCAGGGGCTGGCCAAGCATATCACAGAGAGGGCATCTTGGCCCAGCGCCACCACCATGAGCCTGGGGGCAGAGTTTCTACTAGGACCTGGGTTGAGCATGCTTTCCTCCACATTGAGCCACACTGATTTGGATTAATTGGGTAAGCAAGCAATTAGTAATGAGCTGTGATTATAGCATCTATTGATTATAAATACAAGTCAACAGGCTTGTGAAAAGCCTTAAGAGGCCTGCTTGAAAGACTACTCCAGAATGGCTGCTGATGATTGCCTCACTTACCTCTCTGGTGTGATAAATGAACACCTAAAATGAGGGTTTTCCCTTAAAAACTAAGAAGACTTCTTCCAAATTGCTGTGAACACCATGCAAAAAGTTCCATAATAGGGACATAGAATTGAGCTTCACTTCAGCTCAAAGATCAAAACTTTTTCACGACTTGCAGTCCTATACAACACGGTTTCATCACAATTTGGAAGTTGGGTCTGGCCTTGGAGTTTTTGATATGCTGGCAGCAATCCCCTAAAATTTTCTCAGGGAACTGCTCTCATCTGGGTGATACAGGAGAGGTGATGTGTTTGGTAAAGCAGGTTCCAGAGGCAGGGAGGTGGGAAGAGGAGGGGAAGCCAGAAGACCTGGATTACCCCTACCCCCGACCTCTGCCAACCTGACTACAGAATTTTCAGCCAAGCCCTCAATGTCTCCAATGCCCTTTTGACATTTAGATGATCATAATTCAAATACTTTAAAGGTTTTCAAGTTGAGTAAAGGATTCAAACTCATTTCATACACGGAGAATAGCTGTGGAGATGGTGGATCCTGTTATCATCTGTTATTTTGGAGGAGAGGTGAATTGCAACACATTGTCCCTTTGCTCACCCATGGACTTACCCTTTCCACACTGTCAGTGATAGGCAGAGGGACCGAGGGGCCAGGCTGCCCATCTCCACGACCCTGAGAGGCTCTGCACACCTGTGACTTCTCCCCAGTCCCCGACACCACTCCCGAGTGAGCTGCAGTCAGCCTCCTCTCCCATCACTCTCCTGCCTCACAGGGCACACTCGAGACTTCCCTCGTGCCCAAGGCAGAGGACACAGAGGCAACCACACTACCAAATGCTCCACATTTTAAAGACAGTTGGCACAATCAGGGGCCACCTATTTCCTCCTTGCCCGGGACTTAACAGCAAGAGGCATCCAAGCCAGCTACCCCTCCCCAGTCAAACTCTAGAAGCAGAAAAGGAGGAAAAGTAAGACAAGGAAGGAAGTGAGGAGCCCTTTCACCACACGGCACCTGAAAAAGAAACACTGCCTCATGCAAGAGGGAGGATGCACACCGGTGCTGTCCCCCAGAAGCCCTGGAGGCTTCATGCAGAAAAGCGGGGACAGCCAAAAAAGGACCAAAAGGGAAAGTCCAAGATGCCTCAAAACTTGACACTGTCCCTCACCTGCCTCCCTTCCCCAACACCAGAACACATGGGCTGTAAAGGAGGCTGCAGCAGGGAGGTAAGTAAGGGGAATCAGAGACAGGGCCAGGGCCTGGGAGGAAGAAGGACCAGAAGATGTCACCCTCATCCCCACTCCAAGTACCACAAGCTGAAGCACAGGCAGGTCTAGGGTTGGAGAGGAGGGGAATGTTACTAGGGTGGGAGACTAACAGTCAAATCAAGTAAGATTCAATTTTTTTTCTCTTAGACAAGTATCTTTATTTTAACATTTATTACTTTTTCATTGATAAAAATTGTATATATTTATGGTGTACATGACATTTTGATCTATGTATGCACTGTGAGATGGCTCAATCAATCCACTTAAGATTAACAATATGCATTGCCTCACATACTTATTTTTTAGTGGTGAGAACACTTAAAATCTACCCTCTTGACTGGGTAGCTCACGCCTGTAAGCCCAGTACTTTGGGAAACCGAGGTGGGAGGATCACTTGAGCCCAGTAGTTCAAGACCAGCCTAGGCAACACAGTGAAGCCCTCATCTCTGCAAAAAAAAAATAAAAATAAAAATAAAAAAATAACTTGGGTATGATGATACACACCTACTTGGGAAGCTGACGCAAGAGGACCATTTGCACCCAGGAGTCAAGGCTGCAGTGATCTGTGAGCATACCACTTTACTCTAGCCTGACAGAGCAAGATCCTTCCTCAAACAATCAAACAAAAACTCCTTGGCAACCTCCAAGTATACAATATATTCTTTTTTTTTTTTTTTTTTTTTTTTGAGACAGATTCTCACTCCATCACCAGGCACCAGGCTGGAGTGCAGTGGCGCAACCTTGGCTCACTGCAACCTCCACCTCCTCGGTTCAAGCAATTCTCCTGCCTCAGCCTCCCCAGTAGCTGGGACTACAGGCGCGCGCCACCGCACCCAGCTAATTTTTTTGTATCTTTAGTAGAGACGGGGTTTCACCATGTTGGCCAGGATGGTCTCGATCTGTTGACCTCATGATCCGCCCGCCTCGGCCTCCCAAAGTGCTGGGATTACAGGCGTGAGCCACCGCACCCAGCCTACAATATATTCTTAATTCAGTTACCATGCTGTACAATAGATCTCTTCAACTTATTCCTCCCGTTCCTCCCGTCTAAAGGAAATTATATGTCCTTTGACCAACGTCTCCCCAGTGCCTGCCTTTCCCAGCCCCTGGTAACCACCATTCCACTTTCTGCTTCTGTAAGTTCAATGTTTTTACATTCTACATATAAGTGAGCTGATGAGGTATTTGTCTTTCTGTGCCTGTCTTATTTCACTAAGCATAATGTTCTCTAGGTTTATCCATGTTGTCACAAATGACAGGATTTCATTCTTTTTAAAGACCAAATAGTATTCCATCATCTAGATATACCATATTTCTCTATCCATTCAACTGTTAATAGACACTTGGGCCTGGGTGTGATGTCTCATGACTGTAATACCAGCATGCTAAGATGCTGAGGTGGGAGGATTGCTTGAGCCCAGGAGTTCAAAACCAGCCTGGGCAACATAGCAAGACCCTGTCTCTACAAAAATTTAAAATATTAGCTGGACATGGTGGCACATGCCTGTGGTCCCAGCTACTCAGCAGGTTGAGGTGAGAGAATCACATGAGCCCAGGAATTCAAGGATGCAGTGAGCTATGATCATGCCACTACACTCTAGCCTGGACAACAGAGCAAGGCCCTATTTCAAAAATAAATAAATGTATAAACAAACACACACTTAGGTTGATTCCCTATCTTGGCTATTGTGAATAATGCTACAATTAACATGGAAGTAGAGATATCTCTTTGACATACTGATTTCATACCCTTTGGATAAATACCCAGTAATAGGGTTGCTGGGATGATTGAGTACTTCTATTTTAAAGTATTCTAATGCTTTAAGAGAATGTGCAAGGGGTCTCTTTCCTGCAACACTTGCTAACACATTTTGGGGGCTTGACTTTTTAACGTGCCAAAATGACCAGTAACATCAAAGTGATGACATGTCATGTGTCTCACCCACCTGAAACCCTTGAGCAGCTTCCCCTGACTTCCGGCAGAGCCCAGGCTCAGGCACAGCAGACAGCAGGCTCCACGCCCTGCCCCAACCTACCCCTCTGGGCTCATCACACTGTTTCAGTCCCAGCTGTTCCCCCACAAGCTGACCTTGGACTGAAGCCATATCCCAGCCCCCTTCACTCCTGCTGACTCTGAGTCCTCCTTGAAAGTCCATTCTCTTCTCTCCCAGGAATCATGGGCTATGGGCAGCCTACACACTCTACCTTTGTGCAAATTAGGAAAAGATGACCTTCTGAATAGATGAATTAGAAAAATATGCCTCTCTGGACCAAAACCACAAAGCCTACAGCTTGACTGGGAAAGGCAATGCCTGCACATCAATACTCAAACATTTCCTCTTGCATGGGGCAGTGTTTATTTTCAGGCACTCTAGTGAAAGGACTAGTTCTTTCCAACTAGCCACGCCCCTCAGGTCCCCCTGTTCAGTGTGCAACCTGCTCAGCTGATCAGGAAACCCTTTATCTCCCAGGAGACTGTGTTGGATAGTCCACATTTGGGTTTTCATGACTTCCTGCCAAAACCCTACAGCAGATTAGTAAATAGGCTATGAGCCAGTCAAGGCTGGCACCTGTGGCTGCCATGACAGTGAGCTGCCCAGGGCTCCCTCCAAGACAGAAACCTGTGGCTGGGAGCAGCAGCATGATGCCCTTCAGGTCCTCCATGGGGTCATGCTGTCCCCAGGCTTCTTCCAGCCAAGGGCAGGGCATGGGGGTGCTAGAGCCACCACTCCTACCCAAGACAGGACTCTTCTGGCAGGCAGTCTTTGCTCTGGGGCCCTCAATCAGTCTGATCAAGAATTTCTCTCTGAAACCCATTTTGGTATACTCATCTACTGAGTGGTAGAGATATTAATAGATACATCTTAAGGCTGTTTGAGAATTAATTAAGTTAATGTATGAATATGTTTAGCAAAGTGCTCAAAAAACCACAATAAATATCTAATACGATATAACTAGCTGCATTGGATACACTACAGATTCTACACACGTTAGTGTTGCAGACTGCCTGGTGCTGGTAGCTACAATGGTGATAGGACTGTCAGGCTGTGTGCCCCCCACAACCGCAGATAAACACACATTCCATTCTCTCAAACGGGCTATTGAAGGTGACTTCTTCCTAAGGGGCCCCAGCCTGCACCATAAACTTAGCTGGGCCATTTCTAGGAGACTGTCCAGGTCTCTGTGAATTCTGCTCCTTCTTTGATATTGCTGATACAGTTTGGATGTGTATCCTCATAAATCTCATGTTGAATTGTAATCCCCAGTGTTGGAGGTGGGGCTTTGTGGGGGGTGATTGGATCATGGGGGTGGATTTC